CATCACTAAATGCAGCCACATGTATCTTACTGAGGCCTCCAGCACATTGCAGATGGGAACTCACACAAATGTTAGATCCAGGAGACCACAGCATCGAGCTGGAAACCAAATGAAAAACCACAGCACCTCCGAGAGCATTCAGGAACATTCCACAAGAATTCGGGTCTCTGATATCCCAAGTCCTACTGGGGCAAATGCAGCTTCGTGGTTAAGGATGAAAAACAGCATTTGGTTTCTAATGCCACTTAGGAGTGAGGCTACTTAGGTCTCTAACCTGCTTTTTAAAGAAGGAGCCTGGGAATCATTCCTAAACTAGGGATAATAAGTTATCTTGGGTCAATAATCTATGAAATGTGCTAATAATGACAACAAATCTCCCCTGGTAGAACTTCCATGCCATCTACCTGTCAAAAATCACAAACACACAGCAGCTAAAGTTCCTGAAAGTCACCCTTAGGGCATAAAAAGTGGAAAAACAGCCGTGAACGAAACTTAGTAATTCTTGAAAAGAGTGTGGAATTTGGTAGCATTTCCGCCTTGGTCTCCTTGCATCTGCAGCTGCTCCTGGCTCGGTGGGACAGAAGTCCCACTCCTGCCTATGCAGTTGCAGTGAAGAAGACAAGGTCTCTGTGTATCCCCAGTCCCAGTCCAGAAGTCCAGAGTCAGTCTTCACCTCAAGACTGGCAAGTTCCCTGCATCTGCCATCTGCCCCTTTTCATAGTACTGGAACCGAGTTCCAGGTTGGCATGGCAGTCCCTTCTGCCCGTCTGGCTTCCCTTCTGCCAAGAAGCCCCTACTCATTTTGTGGAAACTCTGCTCCGAATTCAGTAGGCTGAGGAGCACAACAATGCCTTAAGTACCCTCATTCCAGCTCACGTGTACCATGGCTGTTTCAGACCAAGAAGCAATCAACAAGGAAGACAAGGGGCTCCCCCAATCACAGGCAGGGAAGCTCGGTGCTGCTCCAGGTTCTTCAGGCCCAGCTGCAGTTCTGCATCACAGAGCTCTTTCCAGGACAGACAGGCAGTAAGAGCAGGGAGTTTACCTACAGGGGATGGGTTTATTCTGAGCAGAAAGTAAAAATCTTCATGCTTGGGGGATTACAAAAAATGGTGGGTGTCTTGGTTGTAATTATACACAAGAAAAATATGCAGCCATTATGCAACAACAGGAATGAACTTGGAGGAACAATGCTAAAACAAGCCAAACCCAAGCAATAGACCACCAGACTTAAATTGAAGTCCTGAAAGGAAAAAGAAACTCAGTTGAACACATGCAAGAATAGAGGAAACACTGATTATGATGGGCGATGAGGGTGAAATGGAAAAAAGTAGGGGACAGGATCCATATTACGGGTAGATAAGTTTAGATCTCTGATAAACAGCAGGAGGGCTACAGTTAATAATATTGTACTGTGTTCCAAAAATTTTCTAAATATTGTACGTGTTCACCCCCTTACACACTCACAAAAGTGCCTATGGAAAATGATAGATTAATTTGTTTTCCTGTAATAATTATCTTCCTTGTAAGATATTTATCATATTATAGACTTTAAATACATACAATTAGAATTAAAGTACAAATTAAAAAAGAAAGGAAACTATGGTGACAAGGTTTCATTAAAAAGGGACTATACATAAAAAGAAACTGTAAAAAACTAAATAAAAATTCTGGAGTTAAAATACTGAAAATGATCAGCTTACTAGAGCCGTGTATGCTTTGTGTCTAGATGTCCCCCAGAGCTTCACGCAGTCCTGGGGGCAGGCTCCTGCTGCTTCTGCTGCCTCCATGGTCATGAGCTGTTGTCCCTCTGCTACACCACCCTGCCTTGGAACCAGCTGATTATGGACTGAAACCTCTGCAAACTGTGAGCTAATTAACTCTCCCCTTCGTAACTTTCAGAATTGGATGTTTTGTGTCAGCGGTGAGGAAAGTGACTTATACAAGAGACATGATAGTAGCTTTGAACTGCTAGCAGAAAATCATCAGACTTAAATATAAATTAGTAAACATTATGCAATATAAGGAACATAATAAAAAATAATAAAGACAGATACCTAGAGCTTCAGAGAAATGCAGAACATTACTCAAGATAACTATATATATATATATATATATATATATATATATATAGAGAGAGAGAGAGAGAGAGAGAGAGAGAGTAGCAAAGGAAAGGGGGATACAAAGGAAGAGAAGAAAACTACTGAAGAAATAATGCTGAGAACTTTCCAAATTCATGAAAAGTACTAATCTACACACCGGCAAGTCCACCTAACTCCTAGCTGGATGCACACAGTGAGACCCATACTTATGCCATCATAGTAAAAATATTGAAGACAGATGCAAAGAAAATAGGAAAAGCATCAGAAGAGAAACAACTTTATGTGCAATGAGACACCAATGAGATAAACGGCAGACTTATCATCAGGTACAATGGAATTCACTCGGGAAGACCTAACTGAGTTTTGAAAGGTGGCAATGTGCAGAAGACATTAGGTTTTCTGTCTATGACCTTGCTGTATCACAAGGCCAAATTTCCCTGAAAGAGACCGGAGCATGACATGACATGAAGAGGCCTGACAGCTGTCTTTACCTGTGCAGAGCATCCTAAAAGCTGCATCCTTTCCAGCCTGCCATCACCAAGCACCTCTTCCCTGTCCTTCCTGTAAATCCCTCCTCGCCACCAATCCTGGAGGGATTTGAACTCAATGCTCCTGTCCTCCTTGCCATGCAGTGAAGCTTTTTCGTTTGCAAAATCTTAATGCATACCAGGCATCACTTGGTACCAAAAACAGAGCAAAAAATTCTGCTGATTCCTGACCCTCATGAGAGACCAGGGTCTATGGATTCCAACCTGTTAGAAAGCTCACCTGACAGGTGGGGTGTAGCTCAATGGTACAGAGCTTGCCCTACATACACAAGGCCCTAAACAACAACACAAAAGCAACAGAAGAGATAAAAACAGAAAATTAAAGATGAAAAACATCCACTGAGATCTTCTTTAGACTTGAATTAAAATCTCAAAGAGCCAAAGATGACAATGACAAAAAGGAGCCTTTCATTACTGTAGAAGAGAGGGTTTTTCTTCACATGTTAGCAGATGCAAAAGATGATGGCTGGGTCTTCAAGGAAGAAATAACAAACCCAACAGCCACCCAAGGTCCTCATTCAATTGTCTGGCTCCAGAGAGAGGACTTCTGATCCTTCCTTTGTCCTGAAAATGCCTGTGATCTGTTTCTCTTAGGCCAAATGCTCCCAAATCTCTTACTCTGAAGGCTACTTGAGGTCACATTTGTAATGACCACCTACAGACCAAGAGCAAGGAAGCTAGAATTTGTGTATTATGAAGATTAATGGAGAAGACATACAGGTTTTTAATCCTTGTGACCACTAAATCAGATTCCACTGTTTACTGCACAAAAAAAGTCTTTCTGGTTTTTGTTTTATTTCATTCCTTTGCCTTTCATGTAATTAATTGTACACTTAAAACTTCAGCTGCTGACTCCCACCAAGCTCAAAAACAGTATACATCTCAAGTTGCTATTAGTCAACACGATTCATGGGACAGATTCCAGGACACAATTTTGTCACTGTGGGAGAGTCACCGCGGGCTTCTGAGCCTGCTGGGTAATGGGCAGCACCTTGCCCAGTCTCCATAGACAAATCCAAGATGCCAAACTTGGAAGGGACTGGCACACCTGCTATCACATACGTGGCACTGTGTCTGATTAAAGCTTTTGTGGAAGAAAAGCTTTTGCCAAGGAAGAGATGTCTTAATTTAGTGCTTTACACAAAGTATTTCCATCCACTAACTAAAGAACACTTGTTTTTCCCCTTGAGATAACATGGAAGAAATTAGCCACATTGACACCGTGGTTAACAAGAGCGCCAGTCATCACCCAACTTCGGCCACAATCTGTGTCCATTGTGCAAGAGAAAGGCTTCTGTATAACAAAACAGAAGCGAGATTGACTCATGAAAATTCCTCTAAAAGGCAGAATACTAACACTGTCCTTTAAAATGTTTTTAAAGATTCAGTGCTTGCATATATTTATTTTAAGGGAGTGGTTAGAAATGAGCCTTCGTCATCCAATATCCTCACAGGCATGTACCAGTTCTTATGGGCTGTGGGTCTGAAATTTCTTTCCAAAGAGGAAGGGAAATGTGAGACCAACTGGAAGCATTTTTTACAGATGCAGTCCATGCCCACAGACCCATCTGGTGACCCTATGACACTGCCAAGACCTGGAAGTGTTCTGACCACACTTTCTTACCCTGCTAAGTTAAGCAGCGCTCATGTGGATCTGTGATTAATTCATGACCAATCTAAGCATCTCCTAAGCCTTTCCCCCCTAAAAATATGGAATTATCACAAGAAAAAGAAAAGTGAATGCACTGAGATTTCAACATGCACGAGAGCCTCAGTTTAGTTTTCTGCTCCTCACTGTGGGGTCCCTAAAAAGCAGGACCGATGCTAGAGGCAGTGTCTGAATCAGATACTCAGAACAGGCGGAAATGAACCGGCAGATTAACTGTCTGATAGGGCCAACAGTGTGGCAGCACGGCTGAGTGCCCTAACTTGTAAGCATCTTATCAGGATCACAGCGGCAGAAGTCAAGTACTCAGTGTGCCAAACATCTGATCACATAACCAACACAGCCATTCCCGTGAAGATATTTCTGCAGTTTCCGTAATAGATCCGCAAAATAAATAAAAACACTCATGCTATTCATTTACTCAGACCTGGCCACAGGTCCTTAGGCACATGTTTCAAACAGAAATGCTCTTCCACAACTCTAGAACAACCAAAAGGTAGGCGGGGCTACTGTGGTGGACATTCGGGAAAGCATTACTTGGCATCCATCAGCGTTTCCATAGATCAAAGGCATGCATCTGGTGACCACAGAACAACCGGAGACACTTTGAGAGAAACCGCTGGCGAGCCTCTTTACTCCTATTTCCCTGCCTCACTCCCAGTGACGAGAGCCGTCTGCACTCACCAAACCTTGGCAGGTGGAAAGGGCCACCGAGGAGTTCCTGTGAGACCGCAAGGAGCCCTGATAGAAGCAGAAGTCCTCTGGCACGAAGGTCTGCACGGACTTGGTACCTCCCTTCCCCAGCGTCTGCACCACGAACCCGGGAACCACCAGGTGGCTGGAGGCTCTCAGATCCATGTGGAAGTCGTGCCTGGCGCCCTTGACCCGGAGGTGCAGGGAGTCCCCAGCCTGCAGGGCTGCTGCTCTTCGCCGCCTCTGGTGGTGCGTGATGTCATGGGACACGTAGTCTCCTCTGTGGTTGACCTCGTAGGCGGACACCAGGTCATACTCTGAAACCAAAGGAGGAGGCACGGCTGAGCAATCTCAGGGTTCTGAGGGATCCAGCAGTCTCACGTGAGCACCCTCTCCACCTCCACTCAGGAAGGGTGCCAGAGAATTCAACGCGCACTCGCTCTCCCCTTGAAATGATGAGGTCAGCAACGTCAGAGTGCAAAGGGGACATCGCAGAAGTGGACGCTGGGCAAACTGTCCCTGCCTCTGTAATACCACCAGTCCAGCAAATTCTGATTAAGTCTATGATTTAAAGTGGAAAAACCCACACGTGATAGACCAGACAAAACCCAAATTGTTCTTTCAAGATTATATTGCATCAATTTTACTAACCAAGTAACAGTCATCGGTAACCACTTTCACACTTCAGAAACCTCCCTCTAGCTGTCTCCTCTGATTTTTTTAATAAACATCTTCACTGAACTGACAAGCAGTGCTAGCTCAAAAATACCTTCATTTTTCAGAGAATAGTGGAAAAGAAAAGTGTGATAGACCTTCTTTGCTGCTTAATTATTTAATTGTCAAATCGCTGAATGGAACATAGCGGGGGGGAAATGGAGGTGCAGACACGCTCTAGATTTTCCAGATGTCAACATGGAGAAGCTTATGACCCTGTGTGTGCGTGTGCACATGTGTGCGCATGTATATGTGTGTGTGGTGTCCACAGTGGGCCTCCCAATGGCTGGGCTTCCCTTCTTGTCTGTTTGGGTTCTTGTGGCTTGATTGAATTTCACACCCCACAGCTTCTCCAAGGGGAGAGTCACAGTGTGGTTCAGAGTGGATGCCTGTGACCACTGCGGAGAGTGAACTGCTCTAAAACACACTCAAGTAAACTAATTCTTGTTAAAAGGTAAGAGAAAGCCCGACTGGCTCAGCTTTCAGCAGACACCCGTGTCCCACAGTGAACCTTCCAGTGCATGTTCAGGGTACTCACCCATTCTGCAGAACACACAGAGAAGAATTAGATGCCCCATCAGGTGCTGTGAGTGCATTACTGCCTGAGGGGGCTCTCCACCTCCTCAAAGGCTGTCTCCTTAACCACCAGCAGTGACATCCTGCCCGCCACCCGGTCCTGGGCAAGGTTCTTTCAACGGGGTGGGAAGAGAACGGCATCTGCGTGCCCTGAGCTGCCATGTTCTCCTCTCAGATCTACAGTTTGAGGCCACACAAAGTAGCTCAGCTCCGCGGGCGTGCTTGGTACCCGTGCCCACAGTCACACGTGAGGGCTGGGCCTGCCGAGCCGAGAGAGGACCAGTTTCCATGCTTGTGTGTTTCCTAAGCCCCCCAAAGAAAGCTCAGACAATGCAGGCTGTCCTCGAGCCTCACTGAAGAGGACATCAGGCGGAGGCAGCGGAGTGGGCTGGAGGGACCGAGAAGGTGTCCAGGGGGACAGCACTCCAGCTGGGGGACAGCTCCCCTGGTGTTGGCCATGGGGCCCAGTCCTGGCATCCTGCGGGTACTCGCACCTCCCCTGGGCTCCCCACAGCTCTCAGAGCATGGCACTGACAGGTGCTGACTGCGGGCCTCTCACTGCTTTGGTCCGGTGGAACCCACTTGGGTTGTAAGGTAAAATGAAACCACCTACTTCTGTAAAGTGGCACGTGCTCACAGGGAGCACTCACTATCTGGGCCATAATGAGGACGGTGGTAGTAACACTAGTAATCATAGTATTATTGGTACCACCTTGGTGAAAATAACAAAGGTTTTTTCGCGACCAAAACTCAGCAGAGGACCTTGTCAATCTGACCCGATTTTGTCCTGGCACAAATTTCTGTAGGGTCCCAGGAGCTGGTGGTGGCAGCCCATGGGCAGGAAGGAAGGACAGTTTGGGCTCTTGGGAAAGAGAAGTGTAGCCATAGGGGCCAGGACACCCCAATGGAAAGCTCCTGGGGAGGCCCCCACCAACACTGTGTCCCTCCTCTGGTCCAGACTCTGAGCTAACACATTCCAGCCTGGAGAGGACCTGAGCACTTGTGGGCCCCTTGGAGGGAACCAACACTGCGGCTGCCCAGGTGGGAGAGGCCCAGGGAGCAGACAGCGTGACAGCCAACCACAGAGGTCTGTGTGGCACTGGGAATCACAGGGCATTCTGCGATATTCTCATCAGGAAAACAAGACCAGTCTGCGCAGCTCTGGGAGAAGAAAGGGGCACTCGAGGGCCTGGTGAGAGTGGTGTGAGTGCCTGGGTGTCCTGGCTGCCCCACTGCCAACACCAAGAGGATGCCTCACTTGCATTTCCCCCAGAGCCTCTCCTTAGAGTATGATTCCTGAGCTTGATCTCCCTCGCCTGGGATGCAGGGGGAGGCTGATTTGAGGAGGTTGGCTGACACCCCTCACCCTCTGGCTTCTGGAGGGGCAGTTTCTGCCTCCTCATTCTCTTCTTCCTCCTCCTCCAGCCTGGGGTGACAGACAATAGGGAGCTGGTGGGGCTGCTCCAGACTGCAGCTAGTTAGCAAGCTTCACTGCACATGAAAAGGTGATCACTCTGGAAAAATCAGATTGTTCCCCAGTGACATCATGAGCCACTTCTCGTGACCTTTATTTTCAAGGGCAGATGGAGTTTATTGTTTTGGGAGGAGAGAGGTGATCTATTTACCCTGAAAATAACTTCTGATAACTGTCTTTCACACAAACACAAACACAGTGCTGTGCTGGTAAATGTTTGACTGGCTACTGGGGGGCGGGGAGTGATCCAGATGACAGTGCAAGACTGGGACTGGGAAGAGACAAGGGGTCACTCCCCACAGTGCATTAGCCTGCACCGAGGCAGAGGACTCTTCAGGGAACATGGGTGCTGTCCAGAGAGATGTCTGGCTGTCACAAAAGTGGAGAGGGTCAGGGACGTCCTGGAATTGAGCACACAAGACTCAGGGCTGCCGCAGAGCACTCTGCAGTCCCAGCACCAGGAAGTCCCTCACCCTGCTGGGACTCTGTGGAGACAGCCGCCCTGAAATTCAAATCTGTGTGCAGAGGCAGACGTGAGGAAGGGAAATAGCTGAGGAATTCAGGGAATGAACCAGCCAAGCACAGCTCTCACCAAAGCATGCAGAGAGGTCAAGGTACAGCTGCAACTGGCTGAAAACTCTAGTTTCAGCTTAGGGTTGAGATCACAACCTCCCAAACCAGTGCTGTGATTAAAACACAGCAGCGACATTCCCCCAGCATGAGAATCCCTGGAATAAGCCTTTCACCCACTGTGGAGTTTGCAATGTAAAAACATCCCGGAGGGGCAGTTGAGTTCAGGGCCCTGACTGGTGGGGTCTCAAGTCCCAGGGGCCTCTGGTGCAGACCCACACAGACCACACTGACCGGAGGTGCCAGCTTCGCAAAGCTGTTTGCACTCTATTTCTGCTTCACCCAGAGCTCAGTGACATCACCTTGCGGACTGGAATGGGCAGCATGGGAGAGTTTACACCACATGAAGCCACGAAGGTTACAAAGCAGAACAGCACACACACCCGGCTGTCTCAGTGTCTGCAGGTAACTGAGTGTAAATCTTCATAAACTACCTGAGCTTGTTCACGCACGCACGCGTGCGCGCGCACACACACACACACACACACACACACACACCTAGCATCTTTTGTGTCGGGTTAAATAAAGTCCGAAAGATTTCTATCCTTCCCCTGAACTTACTTTGCAATTTCAAAAGTTAAAGCCATACTATGTCTTTGAGCTTCAGAGGCAGCACTGATTTTATTACAAAAGTATATTTGTAGGGAGAAGCAGCAAAGTTTCCCGTGTCCTGCTGGTCATGCTGGATCAGCTGGATAACTAGCTCGGACAAACGTGGGACACAGGGTCTGCCACTGTAGCATTGGCGTTTGTCCTGAGCTAGTTATCAGCATTGCCTGTAAGAACACATGGGGTTCTGGCCTTTGCTGTGTGATTACCTCAGACACCCAGCAAAATCAGTCCCCGTGGGAACCCTCACGGTAAAGAAACTTAGGGCCCCAGAGTTATTTCGAAACCAGTGCACGTCATGGGCGGGCTGGGCATCCATCAGCAAGCGCCCCCAGTCATGCTGGCTTCTGTACTCCAGATCTGGGGACAGTCGTGTGAGCAGAGCCCTCCAGACCCCCATACGGGAGCTTTCTCACTAGAGGGGCGAATGGAGGTGCACACGTGGGTGTCCACAAAGCAAGGACCTCCCCAACAGTGATGCCCACCTCGCGCTTTAGGCCCTGAGCAAGCCAGGCAGGAGGCACCACGGTCACACCGAGCTGAGCCCGTGGCACCGGGAGAGACCCAGGTGAGGAGAATGGCTCCCAGCAGCCCGCTCAGTGGACACAGGACAGATGACCCCTGCCTGACGCAGGAAGCCGGGACTCTTCTTCCTGAAGCATCCTGGTCTGTAACATTCAGGACCTAAGCAAAATTTCTTCAGTGCTAAGAAGCGTATTAAGATTTCCTGAGCCCCTCTGGAATTTTCTCGATTTCATTCTAAAAGCAGACCTTCTGGTAAGTCTCAAAGATGTGAAAGCGAGTGGGTTATTATGCTGCACTGTACGAGAAACCTTCAAGGCGAGGAGGAAGACCCCAAGCAGGGGGCTTTACATGTAGGCTAATTCACTTTCTCTCCATACAGGACTCTGACTGTCTCTATTATTTGCGTCTGGCGCCCTCTGGCGGCGCTCATGAGGTCTTGGGGCCCAGCACAGACTGCGGTTCATCCTACCCTTGTTTCTCCAGTGGGGCAGTGAAAACCGATGTCACTTAGTTTTGGGTCAGCTTGTCACTATGCAGGAACCCCGTCAAAGAGCCCTGAACGCTCCCCTTTTCAGTTTTCGGAGTGTTCTGCGATAAGCTGATCCTTCGATTCTTCCCGTAAACGCCAGCGCCGCTACGCCCCTTGCTGATGGGAAAAGGCGCAGAGTTCTGGAGCTTAGTCGCCGCCAATGAACCGGTCTCATTTTCAGATCACCTCGCGACCACTGCCACGGACCTGCCTTCCCCATTATCCGAAGCCACAGCGCGACTCAGGTGCACACCCGGGGGCCGTAGGTGGACCCATGCCGCGTGGGAGCAGAGAAGAGAAAACACGCACGCCGAGCCTTAAACCGGCTGCACCCCAGCACCGCGCACCCCGGCGCGGCGGGGACACGCGCGTTGCTCAGGGGTCTCAAGGTGCGGGCGCCTACGACACGCGTTATTCCGTTTCCATCTTAGCTCTGACCCCAAGACGAGGAGCCCCAGAGGACGCCAAGGCCTCTCTCCTGCTCCAGGATCCGGTGTGAAAGAACAGAGCCCAGGGCGGACCCAGGAGGGGACCTGACTTTCCTAAGGGCCCCAAGCACCCACGCATTCATAACGCATCCATGCATCCGGATTCTGCCTGCGGTCGGAGTTCTTAGAGACAAAATGCATTTGCATTTTCCTGACTTTTTCCTGACTCTGCAAACTGATAGTGTTTTGCAGGGTCGCGCGGCAGCGCCCATTGGAGGGCGCTTGGGGAAGGACCTGGTGAACTCAGCCTGGGTTGGGACCCCGCAACCCGGGGTGGGATGGGAGTGGGGGTGGTAGCGGCAGGGATCACAGCCCAAGACTCACCAGCCTTCTCCTCCCAGCCAGGGGGCTCCCATGGGCGACGCGCGACGCCCGCGCTCCGGGGCGCGGCTGCTGCGGGTCCCACAGCGCAGGCAGGTGTCTGCGGGGAGAGCGAGGCGGTGAGCGCGCGGGGGACGGGGCACGAGCTGTGTCGCGGACTCGGGCGACCACCAGTGCTCGAACTCGGACTCGGACTCGGGCTTGCACTCACCTGCGCGCCGAGCTGCGCCAGCAGCAGCGCCCACAGTGCCGCGCGCCCCGGGGGCCGCAGACCGCGCTCGCCCCGCCGCCGCATGGAGCGCTCGGCTGGCGCTGCGCTCAGGGGACGCGGACAGCGCGGCTCAGAGAGGCCCCGCTCGCTCCGGTTATCACTGCGGGGTGCGCGGGGGGCGGGGTGGTGACATAGCGGGGGGCCCGGAGCCGCGTGGGGCATGGGAGGGGGGAGGCTGGAGGAGGGGAGCGGGGAAGGAGAAGGAGAAGGAGAAGGAGCGAGAGGGAGGGAGGAGGAGGAGGAGGCGGAGGCTGCTGTGGGGTCGCGTCCTCCGCGAGCTCCCGCGCCCGCCTCGCCCTGCAGTCACACATCGATGTCCCTCTCCAGGGTGGAGGCGGGCACCGGGACCTGGGCTCCCCTGCACCCAGAGGGCCACCTTGTGCAAGCTCCCGGGTCGCCCACAGCCCCGCACTGGCCTGGCTGAAGGAAGGAGCTTGGTGGTGGTTTTTGGGGCTGAGTTCGGGGGAGCCCTGTTTACCACGGGTCACCTACCCACCAGTGTTTGTGGGCGGAGGAGGCGTTGGTACCCACAAGTAAGCCTTGGAGCGGGTGGTGATCAATCTTTCACCCTTAGACTGAGTTCTGCACCCTGCTGTGACCAGTGCCTTACCGCAAGTCAGCAGTGCCCACACGTGTGCCCCGTATGCTTGCAGGAGTGCACACGTGTGTGTGTGTGTGTGTGTGTGTGTGTGAGGTTGCCCCCCCCCCACTGGCTGTCCTCCTGCTTCCAGACCACTGCCCTTCTGTGGACCCAGACTGCTGCTCCTGTGAGCACAGGGTCTTCAGGTCCAGCTGGCCTGGCCTTGCAAGGTTCACACAATTTGGAGAGAGGATGGGGGTGTGGCAGTGGTGCCCCCTCCTCTGCCCAATATGCAGGTGTCCTGGAGAGCTCAGAGGAAATGTCAGAGCTCCTGGACAGGACAGGAATCCTTTCTTTCTCTGCCTCTCTCTCTCTTTCCCTCTCTCTCTCTCTTTCTCTCTCTCTCTCTCACTCTCAAAAATGAAAAATCTCCTTTTCATAACCCATATTTTTAAGCCAGCCATAAAGGTTGTACCCCTGCCATCCTGTCACTCTGGGAGGCTGAGGCAGGAGGATCAAAAGTTTGAACCCTGCAACTTAGGGACTTAGCAGGACAATGGAGAGCGGAGAGGGGAGAACCAGGGACCAGGGACAGACAGAACATTTTTAAAAAGTAAATTAGAAGTGGCTTTCAAACAATGGGTACCTCTCCCACAACCTGCAAGAGTCTTCTGAGTCTCACCTCCCAGACTGATTCACCCTTACCTAGATGAGGAGGGTCTCACCCAGCATCCTTTGCCTCAGACCCCCAGCCAGCAGGACCAGGAAACTACGTGTGCAGGGGTGCGGGAACCTAAACGTAGGCTTCGGTGATGATTTTTCCACCCACTAGCCGAATATCCAGGGAAAGACTGAGCTCCTTCCAATCCCTTTCCCTCAGAGTGGGGAGGAGGAGACTCAGGTACTGAGTGCTGGTGGCTGCAGGTGTAGGAACAGGGGAGTGAAGGATGTTAAACTGGGGTGGGGAAGCCTGGCTTTGGGGAGCCTGCCCTGTCATCTTTTGAAGAACCTGGCCAGCTACACTGCCCCTCAGTCATCCAAAGATGGAATGCATGGGCTGGCCCTCTCCAGGGAAGAGTCCACCAGCCAGGGCCACCCATGGGAGCTGTCTCCTCCACTGCTGTGTGGAGGCCAATGAATCCTGCATCCCCAGGGATTGTAAAACCCTTCTGAAGGTCCCTGGGCCCAGCCCTGGGCCTGAGTAGGCGTGGCATACCCATCTGGATTTGTGGAAACTCCTGGCACAGCTGCTTGAGTCAGGGATGTTGAGACTCAGCTTGGAAACAGTTGCTCCAGCTGAGAGGCGGCAGTGAGGATTCTGTCTGTCTATCTGGTTCTGCTCACTGTGGTGTGGAAAGGCTCTGAGACGGTGCCCTGCCCGCAAAGGACCTGCCACGGATTGTGTCTATGTGTCCCCCCAAGCCTCAGGAGCGCAAAGAAAGTGACTTTTGGAAAATAATCAAACGAGTTATGGGGGCCTTCTAGCAGACTGGGCGTTAGGGTGTAGAGTCTACTCAGAAGACTTGGGTCACTGGGGCATAGCCTGGCAGGGTATACCACCCTCCAAAGCTCCCACCTTCCCTCCCTGCTTCCTGCCCACCATGATGTGAACAGCTCAGCCAGGCCCCTCGGCTATGCTGCCCCGCCTTAGAGTGAGCCAGTGGTGGCCTGAGACCTGAGCCAAGTAAACCTCTCTTCCTTATAGATGATACTGAGTCTTAATGATGAGAAAATTGACCAAGCTGTGTGTGCACACCATAGTTTGCTTTGAGAGTGTGTAGAAGTGTGTGTGGATGCACAGTTTTCAGTAAAGGGAGCATTCCATAAAGGTCCTAGTAGGCGCTGAGAGGGCAGGATGTATAGTTGTGGCTGGAAAGCTCACTCCACTGTCTTGTCTCAAAACACATTTCCTGCTGTTACGGTCTTCACACTAAACATAAAGGGAGAATTTACACAGAAAAAAGACAATTTTAAAAGCAAATTTAATCCAAATGCAAACTGAATCTAAATTTCAATTGAATCCAAATTTGAAAAGGCAAATACAAACTTGGTACTGGGCCTTAGACACGGGCTAGTGAGATGCCCGGCAGTGATGCTGCATTAGTGTGGTGGGGGCGTACACACGTGTGTGTGTGTGTGTGTACAAGCATGTGTGAGGCCCCCTTCCTGCCTTCCTGACTTGTCGCTGTGACCAGTGGGGGTGTCTGCTTGCAGTGTTGACTTAAGCCCTGCCCCAGACTCGCACCCTCTGTTCCTCAGTGTACCCAGCTTTACCCCCTGTTGGTATCTGTTAGTCAGCACCCCACAGGGGGCTCTGCCTGGTAACCAGGTAGAATCTAGCAGGAGATGGAGCTGAGCCCCCTTTGCTGTGCCCCAGAGAGAGGCCCCCCAGAACTCAGAGGCCACGACAGGGAGCCGGCCTTTGGGTGTGCAGACTGTGGCAGCAGATAGGTGCACCTGTGCCCCCCACGCCCACTTTGGTGGCGTGGCAGCAGAGGCCATGGGCTCCCCTCATTCCCGATGGGTCCTGGGGGCCCTCCTGCCTCTGCCTCTCAGCCTCTCCTGGTGTGTAAGCCTCAGTTCCCTGCCTGAACCCACTTGCGTGACTTCAGCCACTGAGTCTCCCACCCGCAGCTCTTCTAGGCTCAACGTGTTTGTGCCAGGCACAGACTTGGACCAGGGAGTTAACTACGGGCGCTCGCAGAGACTCCCGCCTCTGTGCCGCAGGACATCATCGGTCAAGTCAAGATTATCAGCTCCAAAGAGGCGCAGTAAACCCCTGGCAGAGTCAGTTGGTGGGACTTTTTACCTGGAGGTTCCTTTGTGCCTAATCGCTCAGTGTGTTTGTTGTTAATATTTCTTCTTTCCTCTTGGTCCCCTTACTGTTTTTCAGTTTATGTTTTCCTAAAGAAGAGTCCCTTCCATCAGGATTGTCAGTCACTTTAGAATATTTTGCTTGCTTAGGTATGTTATTAGTCACTCATTAATCGTGATTAATTAAGCATAGTTACCTACCTAGCGAGACTCCCCTGGGAGGCCCCTTTCTGTAACTCGGTGGGAAAGCCCAACAGTGACCAGTTATTCTCAATAATTTTCAGGTTACACATTAGAAAGGAATAGAATAGAAGGGCTGGTGTGAATTCGTACTGTAAATTACCATTATGTCATTATTTTTGGTTTTTGGGTTTTTATGACTGTAGCTATCATTTGGACTACATTAGAATAACTTTGCCAAAATATGATAATACTTTTTAGTGAAACTATGTAGACCTTTCCTACTTGTTACGTATGTCTGTAGGGTTTTTATTGGCTCCTATTCCTATTTTGGCACATCCATCCCCCATTACCCTCCCTTATGTCTCCTGTCTCTCCTTTTGTCCCCTCGCTAATAATCTTCCTCCTTCTTTTTGTTTCTGTTTGATTTAAGATTCTACCTATTTGGGAAGACTGTAATATTTGGCTGTGCGAGTCCACACAGTCTGGATTATTTGACTTCCCATGACGATAAGTTCCATTCGTTTTCCTGCACATGACAAGATTTTATTCTTATTTTGTCCCTGGTGTTGGTCATTCTTGCCTGCATGTCCTTCACTGTGAAATCAGTTTTTCTGGTTTATCATTCCTGGACCAGGGATGGCATCCTGCAGCTTCAGTGTGTGTCCAGGGTGGTGGTGACCTTCCCGCAGCACCTCTCCACCCTCCTCCCCTCTGCATCGCGCCTCAACTAAAGCCGCCCCCGACACTGGATGTTGGATTCCACTGGCCGGATCCTGGGTTTCCTGGCCTCTTCTGGGTCCGGTTCCACATGCTTCCCATGTCATCGCCTGCTGACGACCACTGGTCTTCCTCCCCTTTCATTTTCTGCTATCTTTAGACTTCCCTTAGGGCTCCTTTTCTCACCCTTCGGGGAGCTGCCCTCCTGTTTAACTTCCTGCCCTCTTTGTCCAGCTTTTCTGTACACTTAGTTTCAATGACCACGAAGCCTCTGTTCAGTGAGTGAATCATTCTCTCCATATTTGCCCCTCCGGTTTCCTTTCCTATTTCTTCCCACCTCCTTGCTGACTCTCAGTAACCTCATCGTGAAGAAGACCTTGCCCAAGGAGTGAAGGGGGAGATGCTGCCTGGGATGAGTGCGAAGCAGAGCTGGCGTGGGACTGTCAGAGGCCTGCGCTGCAGACCGAGGCTGCCTGCAGGATAATTTATTTCTGTTCCTGCTTTACCAGGAGTTGACCTGGAATAAAACCTGCAAACCACAGGCCTTTTCTCTCTGAGGTGTCACTGCTGAGGTCTTCATCTCCTTTGGCAGAGGAGGAGTCTGGAGCTGAGTTGCTTCAGGATCTTTCTGGCGGCCTATCTTGCTTGCTGTATGAGCCTCTAGGATTTCCTTGTCTTTGACCTGGTGTTTTCCAGGATCTGCCTGGCTGTGCAGTTGGTCATTACTTCTGCCTGTAACTTCGTGAATTCTTTTGAACTCTGCTCAGCTCTTCCCCTCTCCACCTTTGGAAAGATCTACTTATTTATGTATTTATTGTTGGAGAAATGTAATAGTTATTGGGTGGTGTAGTCTTTCACATTACAGTAGACAAACTGAACTGAG